CCCCCACATGACAGGCTGATTGAGGCCTGTCTACACTATTTAAGCTATACTGAAAAGAAGATTAGATGAGATAATATTTTATTAAGGGAGAACGGAGGGAGATCCGGATTATTCGTCAGTGTGTGTGTCCTGTACCAATCACGTGTAGGAAGAACAAGGTTTTACTAAAGGAAAAGCGTCATAAACGGATGGACTCAAAGGATAGTCGAGAATAATTAACATTTGAGGATAAATAGGATTATCGAAGGAACTCTCAATGAACTGAATTTCTCAGTGAAAAAATATCTGAATGGTAAGTTAAGTTCGACATTTATTTTATTTAATGTACTTGAGAAGAAAACCAAGTGAAATTCTTACCAATGACCTTGACCTCTGCCTTGGAGGTCTTTCCGTCCACCTTGATGGAGTACTCGGCCTGGTCCGACAGCTCGGCTCGGTCTATGGTCAGTGTGTGCTGGGGTCCGTCAGCGGTCAGCACGATCGTCTCAGAGGCCGTGACCTTGACCCCGTTCTTGTACCACGTGGCCGGGCGGTCAGGCTTGGAGATGGTGCACTCCAGGAAGATCTTCTGACCTTCTTTGACCTCAATACTCGCCAATGGCTTCGTGAATTCCAAAGGTTCTTCTGAAAGGTTTTAGAAGCGCAATAGTTATGTTCCACAATACGAGTTAATACATGGTGGTATTTCTGGTTCCTTTTATAACGATTACGTGGAAAAGGTAAGTTTAGTTCGAAATTGTTGGGACTGTCTTATGATAAAATATCCTTTAGGAAAATATAGGACTCGTGTGCACGGTCCTGAAAATCTATATAGCTCGTGGAAAGACCCGTCTGGTAAATTAAACAATTCACTTATTATACTTAAAATATAAAACACATTTTTAAAAACATTCTGGAAATGCAAGGCAAACAGACAAGACAAAAAGAGGAGGGTACAACATGTCACACATTGCACATAACACATGTCACATGTCACACATAGGACATAACACATGTCACATGTCACACATAGCACATAGCACATGTCACACATAGGACATATCACATGTCACACATAGGACATAGCACACTCAGCACATGTCACACATAGGACATAACACACTCAGCACATGTCACACATAGGACATAACACATGTCACACATAGGACATAACACATGTCACATGTCACACATAGGACATAACACATGTCACATGTCACACATAGCACATAGCACATGTCACACATAGGACATATCACATGTCACACATAGGACATAGCACACTCAGCACATGTCACACATAGGACATAACACACTCAGCACATGTCACACATAGGACATAACACATGTCACACATAGGACATAACACATGTCACACATAGGACATAACACATGTCACACATAGGACATAGCACACTCAGCACATGTCACACATAGGACATAACACATGTCACACATAGGACATAACACACTCAGCACATGTCACACATAGGACATAACACACTCAGCACATGTCACACATAGGACATAACACACTCAGCACATGTCACACATTGCACATAACACACTCAGCACATGTCACACATAGCACATAGCACATATCACATGTCACAAATAGCACACAACACAAGCCATGTGTCACACACATCCCACCTTTGACGGTGACCCGGGCTGAAGTCTTCCTGTCCCTCACAACACACTTGTACACCGAGTCGTCCTCCATCGTTGCACGCTCGATCGTCAGCGTGTGAGTGCGGCCGTCACGCAGGATTTGAACCCTGTCGCTAGCGTCCAGAGGCTTGCCATCTTTCTGCCAGGTGGCCTCAAGGTCAGGCTTGTTGACCTCACAGGTCAAGGTCAGAGGTTGGTTCTCCATAATCTCCACATCTTTGAGCGGTTTGGTGAATTCGACTGGTAGTTCTGAAAATTGCCCAATAATTTTATTTAATGTAATGGCTTTGATATGCTAAGCTTACTTGAAAAAGCACAATCAGACAAATAAAGAAGAAGTTGATTTGTGAAAAAGTGCTACACAAATTGGATTAAGTGTTGATTAGTATTCAAAATACTGAACACAGTAGAACAAAAATGCATGTAGTGTGATGGAAGATTATTTTTATTTAAAAAATGAAAGTTAGTTCACTTCACAAAGAACGACAAACAACATAACATCATGACCGTGTTCCAAGTTAATATGGTAAAAATATATACCGTAGTCAAAAATTATGTTTTTTAGGCATAAAACAAAAAAGGTATCCGTCCAAAAAAAATAATGTTACATTTCTGGATTAAGAAAGTGTTTTAGTTTGTAACGTTATTTACCAACACCTGTTAGAGCACAGTAACAAGTACAATGTAAGTTGTTCATTTGTAAAGCAAGCAACAGCACTGAAGAAATAGGAGCTATACATTTTTAAAAAAAATAAGGGAACAATATTTCTTTCTTTTTTTTTGGGGGGGGGGGGGAGAGATTTGATTCTATCAATGATAGAAGGATTTCCATGGTTGTGCTAGGCCAACACATGACGGGCTGATTGATGTGGTTTTTAAGAGGGGTTGGTTATAGAGTTTTTATAAAAAATGCAGAAGACACATTACATAAAACAATGAAGACCTACTTAGAATAGGTATAGGTAATATAAAAAGGGGGTCTCTAATATTGTACGAAAGATATATCATTTCGACGGCGTGTCGTGGATTAGCATGAGGATAAATGGTCGCTTTTAAGCACAAGGGGGCTATCCCGAAAAATGCTGTTTTGAGAAAATCGAAAGTAAAGTTTTTGCCCCTTGTTCAGTTTCTTAAAAGACACGGCGAGTTTTTTCTATAACCAAACAAATATAAAAATCAATGAAACCAAACTTTTCCTATAGGTAGAGCCATAGGCAATGCCCACTTTTAGTGTAGGTCAAGATTTCTGGAAACCCCCAAAATCTGGGTTAACCCGCATGTCTTTAAAAGCGACCAAATGAAGGATTTAAATTTCAATGTACTGGTCGGTGCAATGAGAAACATAGCAGCTAGATATACAACTAACGATGTGCCTAGGTCTACAGTGACCGCGAGCGACCACGAATTACCTCGGACTTTGAGCTCGGCAGAACTCTCTACATCTTCTATTTTTATCTTGTATGCCCCAGCATCCTCTAGCTCCACGCCCTCTAGCGTGAGCGTGTGGGTACTTCCGGTGACGGTGATGTCATAGCCTCCCTTCACAGTGATAGCTTTGTCTTCGTACGACCACACGGCCGTCAAGTCTGGCTTAGAAATCTCGAAGATGAATTTGGCCGTCTCACCTTCCGTTATCTCCAGATTTTTCAGAGGTTTGATAATTTCTAGTGGCTCCTCTGTTAGGTGGTTCCCAGTAGGTAGGCAAAAGTAACAGTGTTAGCAACGACAGGTTTTAGAAACGATATCAGAAATAAACGTGTGGCTATAAAACATAGACATAATGATCTATTAAGACATTAATAGCTTGTTTAAAGTTATTATTAAAAAAAAAGAAAGTCTGCATGCGCTAAATTAAAACCAGAGCATCGGTGTGAGAAATCTTGACTTTAACACAAACACTGTACAAATAACACAGTTAGACATCTGAGATCTGAGTGAGTAGTGGAGGTAGTCAGGGAAACAGGAACGTTATTTTTTTTTTCAACACAGAATTAATCATGAAACACGCAGAAGTTTATATGTCAGTAGTTACATGATTAATTTGGTTAGTGACATAGTGTACAAATATTCATAATAAAAGGTATAATTTGTTTCTTTGCGTCCCACCCCTTCTCTCTCTCTTTCTCTCTCTCTCTCTCTCTTTCTCTCTCTCTCTCTCTCTTTCTCTCTCTCTCTCTCTCTCTCTCTCTCTCTCTCTCTATGAGTGTGTGTGTGCGCGAGTGTGTGCGTGGGCCTGTGTGTGTGTGTGAGTGAGTGTGTGTGTGAGTGTGTGTGTATGTGTGTGCGTGAGTGTGTGTGTATATGTGTGTGTGCGTGTGTGTGTGTGTGTGTGAGTGAGTGTGTGTGTGTGAGTGAGTGTGTGTGTATATGTGTGTGTGCGTGTGTGTGTGTGTGTGAGTGAGTGTGTGTATGTGTGTGTGTGTGTGTGTGTATGTGTATGTGTGTGTGTGCACGCAGGCGTGCGTTTCTGTCCCTGTTTGTATCTCACTGTGACATTCTTTTGCCTTCTGTCTTTCAGTATCTCTTTCCTTCTTTCCTTCTTTCCTTCTTTCCTCCACCCCTCTACCCCCTCCCTCCCTCTTTCAATGTGTTATCCCCCCTCCCTCCCTCTTTCTCCCGTGTTATCCCCCACCCCATCTCCCCAAGAACTATCCTCCCCCCACCCATCCCTCCACCCGAGACCACTGACCTTCCACAAAGACAGAAGCCTCGCTCTCCGCTCCATCGACCTCCACCTTGTACAGTCCCTCATCGTCCAGCTCCACGTCTGCGATGCTGAGCTTGTGAACTTTGCCGTCAGAGGTCAACCGGATGCGTGCAGAGGCCTTGACCTCTTGACCTCCCATGAACCACTTGGCGGGCTTGTCTGGCTGTGAGACCTCACACTCCAGGACCAGACTCTGGTGTTCTGTGACCGTGATGTCCGCCAGTGGGCGAGTGAATGTCGTGGCGAGGGCTGGGGACGTTTACAGATAGACGTGAGTGGTTGGGTGTAGTTGTGTGTTGATGGAGTGAGTCATTGTGAGGACGTTTATGTCGTTAACTGTATCCTACTTTTACATTTTGTTTGGCATTAAGCGAAAATATGATGGCACTTAAATGACCAAAATTGAGTCGATAGTGCCGTAAAACACCTACTCAATAAAAAAAATTGAAAATATGACTTACCAAGAGTTCTGATGTTGTTGTTGTTGTTGTTGTTGTTGTTGTTGTTGTTGTTGTTGTGGATGTTGTTGTTGTTGTTGTTGTTGTTGTTGTTGTGGATGTGTGTCGTAAAGGCCGAAAGAAGCAATAGAGATGACAGACATACGAATAATAAACCGTGCTATGTCAATACTATTTCAAGTATTATTCATATATAAGCGACAGGAAAGTGAAGGGAACCGATCGTGTTCTGTGTAAGCAGCCAAAAAATTGATACGTCTAAACGTAACTATTAATTAATGATAATGAACATGTTTTGTACACACAGACTACAGGTCGTAACGTAGCGTACCTTCGACGCCAAGTTGGGCCGATGACTTCTTGTCTTCAAACACGATCATGTATTTGCCGGCGTCCTCCAGGTCAGCCTCGTCTTTGGTCAGGGTGTGGACCTTTCCGTCCACCTTGATCGTGAACCCGTCGACCTCAGAGACCTTCAGGCCGTCCTTGAGCCAGCTCACCTTGACCCCTGGTTTCGAGAGCTCACAACTGAAGGAGATGGGTTCTTTCTCCAGAATGTTCTGATCCTCCAGTGGTTTGAGGATTTCTATGGGCGACTCTGTAAGGACAAACGTCATCAATAACATTATATAGCTCGTTTCCCTTTCTTTTACATAGATCTGTCCCCGTCCTTTTATGCAAGAGACATTCAGAAATTATGCAAACTGAGCCTAAAAATGTGAAATTATACGATTCTGTTAATTTTAACAAAGAATGATAAAGGAAAATAATCCGAAATTATGCTAAAAATGGTCAAATTTCGCTAAATTATGTGGGGTGCATAAAACCACGGGGACAGATAGATAATAGTTAAAAGATCCAATAAGAAAACGACTCTTGTATCGATCAATTGAGGAGTTGTGTCTTCGTCCATTTCGATAACAGTATCCTGCTTCTACTTTAGTTTTGGTATTAAGAGTAAATGTATCGAGGTCCCATTTCACCTTCACCTTCACCTATTATTAGCCACCAACTTCTTCCACTCTTTCCAGTCTTCAGCTTTTCTGAGCTTGTCTTTGAGGTCCAGGCCTGTCCATTCCTTGATGTTGTCCTCCCAACTCTTCTTCAAGTTCCAATTTAACGTATCATTAATTGAAAATAAAACAAATTATACCTGTAATTATAAAACGTAATTTCTACCATACTGATTGTATAATTTATTTTATTACCTTCTACAAGCACCAGAGCCTTGCAGCTCTTGTCTGCCGCCTGCAGGGAGTAGTTGGCCTCATCGTCCACTTCCGATACGTCAATTTCGAGCCGGTGGACACATCCGTCCACCACCAGGCGCACTCGGTCATCAGAGGACAACGGCTCGCCGTCTTTCTTCCAGGTCACCGGGAAGTCTGGCTTGGATAATTCCACCTCCAGGACCAGCTTGTCTCCCTCTGTGACCGTCGTGTTGCGGAGCGGTTTGAGAATCTCCACGGGGAGTTCTGGAAGGATGGAGACGGCGTTTGTTGTTGGGACGAGTTGACAAAAACTGAACATTTGATTATCTAGTCTTCCACGGATGTTAAATGTCATGATGGACGAAGTATTTTTTTTAAAATACAAAAACTTTTAGACAATAACATCTTACCTTCAGTGGTAGTTAAAGGGTAGCATTTGCTCATGATGGACGAATTATTAGTTTTCAAACTTTAAAAAAAATTGACAGTAGTATCTTACCTTCAATGGTTTTTAAATGTTAACATTAGTTCATGATGAACGAACTATCAATTGACCCTAGTACAGGCACCAGTGTCTGAGCTTCCACGACAAGTTTTAGCTATAAAAAATGTTGAGAAGCAGTTCTATAGACAATATCACATCTTCAGTGGATGTAAAAAGTCCCCAAAAGTGCATCATGAACGAACTATCAATTAACCCTCGCACACACAACACTGTCTCAGTAAGTGGTTGGCGGGTGCTCTGGTGTGGTTTGCTCTTCTGTCCTATCAAACATCTATCATCCTTATCTCCCCTTCTTCTTTTTTATGTTTGTTACTCTCTTGCAACACCTCTAATCTTCTGGCGCTTATATGACCTTATGCAGTTGCGAGCGCCGTAAAACCTCTGCTAAAACTAAACTAAACACTGTCTCACCTTCCACGACCAGTTTGGCGGCCGTCTCCTGGCCTCCCATGACGCACGTGTACTGGCCCATGTCCTCCAGACGACAGTCGTCGATGACCAGCTGCTGGACAAAGCCGTCTGTGATGGCCTGGATCCGATCGTCCAGTACCACCTCCTGTCCGTCCTTGAGCCACTTGACTGGGATGTTTTTCTTGGACACCTGGCACTCGAAGATGGCCATCTCCTTCTCCGGAAGTTCCTGGTCGTCCAGCGGCATTGTGAAGAACGGCTCGATTTCTGTCAGTGGACATGCGCAAGACCAGGGAGATTAGAAAATAGTTTACAAATGACTTGAAACTTACTCCAGTTTTCAAAATGATATGGAAATTACATCAATTTAAAAATGGCATGCTAACTTTGGCTTGATCGATAGTCCTACTCGTTCAAATAAGATACTGAGACCTATTTAAAATCTGTGGGTTTGTGGGGTTTTCGTTGGATGACTTTGTGAAAGACACTGGGTGGCTGCTGTTTGTTCAAGTGCTGTCACTTCTTTTCAAATATTTCTGGACTAATTACTATGAACATAATCAGTCTACTATAATTACTTAAGCTATCTTTCTTAATACAAATGTTTTCTCTCTAATTGCTTAAATTATATCTAAGGTCGATTGTTTGATTCAAGGCGGCGACGCTGTCAGGCCGTCATCAACGTTACTGATCGTGTTACTTTTGTAGACCACCCCCACACTCTTGTACGTCGTGAATAA